ACGAGCTGTAAACCAAATAACATTGAAGAAGTATTGGCCATCACAAACGCAGCTAACACTGAATGCATCGGTAAGTTACACATTGCATTAATTGTCTGGTCTATCACTTGAAAAACAAATAATTCATAGTTTCTTTTTATATTCAGTAATTAAAATGTAAAAAATGATTTATACACGAGCAGTCGCGAGATCGACTGCAGCGCGTTGCACTTTCTCTTCGTAGGTGAACTTTCACTTGCGCTCTCGCTAAACGCGGCCGATTTCATTTTCGCGTGCACTTTACAGGTAACGTCGACAAAGACTGTCACGAAAGAGAGGGGCACGATGCTTACGAGGTGCACTCTCCATCACAAGGAGGGCTGGTGGGAGCCGGTGGGGCGCGTGTCGCAATGTCACACAGTGAAGCCATGCTGGGAGGGCACGCGCACACTACCACACCGCACTTAGCGTCAGGACACGGACAATTGTCGCCAGCCCACGGAACTCAATACCGTCCCTTAGCACCTCCACCACCCCCTGATCATGATCAACAGCAGCCGCATTATAATTCAGCCGGAACCGAGCCCAGGCCTAGCGTTATAGAATCCAGCCAGCCACTCATCATAGAATGCACCTGAGCTTGGAAAAAGGATCGCCGCCGCCAAATCTAGCGTCGGATATGTGATTCCCCGCCGCAGTGTGTGATTCCAGTGTGATCAAACATAAGTATTGTGTGAAACATTAGTCGGGTATTTTCACTCGGTTTTCCAGTGGCTATGAGATTACGAAATGAACTGTAAGTTGTAAATTTGTATAGTTGCTAGTAGTAAGCGCGATGCGATTAAAGTACTAAGTACTTGTAAAAAGGTTGATCCCATTTAAGGACAGAGTGTATAATTTTAGAATGTAGATACTATGTCTTTGTGTAAAACATTTTAAAATATGGTCGATGTATCGGCAGCCTTTTGTTTAATTCTACTTAATGCTCAATTTTATATGTTTTTTTTTATAATCAAATGTCTATTGTAAATATTTAGTGACACCTTTTTTTTTCTATGTACAACATTTGTATTGAAATATATATATATATTTTGGGCCCATGCTTGTAACCATGTTGGAAAACAAGTAGTATCTGTCAGGGGCTTGTTTAAATTTACCGATTTATCTCCTGGGTCATCATTAATTTGTGTACAAAAACATTTATTCACCAAAGAACGGAAGAGCCGCACAATTTAATCCAATTAGACTTCCTAAAACGTTGCTCTCGTGTCTTCGCAATCATAAAAAAAAACATTTCAAAAGAAAATCAAAATTAGTGTTAAGTGCCAAAAGCACGTTTATAATGTTTTAGGTTATTTCATAAAACTTTCGATAGTATTTAAATTGTTGTTCCTAATTAATAATCGGATTGTAAGCGCATGACTTATGCATCGACTTAATTCTAATATTAATTATTATACATAAATCGAGGAAAGTGTACATTATCCCTACGCTAGAACAAATGGTGCTTCACATAGTGGATGAGTAGTCGTGTATGTTAAATGCTCCAGAGCCTTCGGGCACTAGCAGACTACTAAATACTATTATTATAGGTACATTTATCGGCATATTGACTATTTTTACGGATGCAAAGTTTATCCACAAAAATCACAAATGATTCAGATCTACATTTTTCAGATGAGATTTGTGTTACGAAGTGTTGATAAACTGAAATTATACTTAAATGCCTGTCAATGTGCTGGTAAGATTTTTCACCAAGTTTATTTGTATACTATTGTATATTTCCAAGTTATTATGATTCTCCTATTCGAAAAGGCTGAGATAATTAAAATTGTAATGTGAAGTTTGGCGAACGTTAGATATAGTTTTGGATTGCATTGTTTTAAGCATTGTTATTAAAATGCAAATGCAAAATAATGTGAATCAAATAGAAGCTTTTGTATATTTCTATTGTTTATAGTATTTTACACGGGATCCCTTGTAGATATAATGGCAACAATTTGTATTTAACACATTTTTACAGGGCGCCAATTTTGCAACACATCACATGAAATAGTTTTACTCTATTACTTAAATATTTCTACTTAATAAGTTCTATATAACTAACTATACTCCGAAATCAATATGTCTAAATGACATACACTAATTCAACAAAGGACGCACTATGATTGCATTTGCAACTGTAAACTTTACTCGTATTTCTCAAATAAAACAAGAAAAATGCACTGGAATTGCGTGCTTGTTTCTGTTGGATGGATGGATGGATTTTGCTTCGTAAAGCTTATCTGAAATAAGAAACATCCACGTGATTCTGCATGATTGTGTATTTTAAATACGTGTAGCCATAAATTTTTAAATTAAGGTCTAATCTTCCAATCTAAGATTAGCTAGTACCTGGTGTTGTGTTCAATACAATAAAAATTCGTCAATATACTCTTAACTTACAGCCATTTATTTTCATTCAAACTTATAAAATAAGCAGGGTTTTCTATTACGCGTTGTATACTTTAGGTCATAACTCGAGGAAGTTTTCTGTAGCCATTCATTCTAATAATTACTGTAATTAATTAATACACACGTGTCCTCAAGTAGCTTTTTCATGTGAATTTCTTCACGGTTTTTTATCTACAGATTAGATTTTATTAATTGTTATTATTCCATAAATATGTCTATTTTCCGTTCTGTGGAATTACTTTAATAGTATTTCGATCAATACTATCGCTTAATGAAATGGGAATAGGATACATTTGTTGGGTCTTATATTGTGTAGAATCTATTTTTGTATTAACTTTCATAAATACGTAGAAAATTTTGAAATTTAACCATTCTAAAGTTAAAAGTTATTAACTCGACAATGCACTGCAAACGATCATGTAATGATGTTAATGAAATATGTTGATGTCGAATGTAAGTTATAAAGTTCTATTGTTTGAGATACCGTAAAGAGCAGACAGGTACTGAGCTACACTCCGTTGTAAATAATTATGCAAAAGAATACAGAATTCGACAATTTTAAATGTAGTCCTAAAGTAATAAAGTAAAATTTTATTGGTTATATTGTATTCTGACCCTCACGAAAAATATAGAACTTAATTATTATTGTACTTATCGTCAATACATCGTCAATCAAGGTACACGAAATTAAACAATAATAATATCAGTAAATATTTAATTCAGCTAATGTTTGTACCTATTGCATACACATTCGTCTATATTTAAATAAAATATATTGCGTATAATAAATACTACATTGTAATAATCATCTATACATGTACCTATTGTAAAGGCAAGTAATTTTGTACACCTTGACCGATTCTTTTTCAACACCAAATCCATTACAAACAAAATTTGAAAATTGAAATTGTTGTTTTATTCTCCTTACCCCATCGACTGGAATAAAGCAGTCGGTCACTAGATGCGATTGCTTATTTTTTCCGTTGGCATATTTAGGCAATCCGACGTGAACATTGCTAGTTCCCTTGAGACATGAAGTCAAAATTTGAACTGAAGAACGTGACTTCTTTACTTGTAAAAGTGCGTGAAACTATCCTGTGTTGTTTTGAAAAGTCACCTGTTATTCCAAACGTATTGACCTCGACTTAGTTACTTTATTACTAAGCCCATCGTTTTTTTTTATTGCTAAGAGATATATAATAATATATTGTTTTCTTTTATAAATCTGTTAGTGGTTTAAACCAATTGCGCAAATTATAATTTTTGCAGCATTTTTTTTACACGAAGTTATTGCGAAGGTCAGACATGAACTTGAGTTGTGAATACCGCGGGCTGCGGCAAGTCGCGTTACTCAAATTAACTCAATATGAGTACATCAGGCTTCTTATCCTTCACGTCACGATAATTTCACCACGAGTCTTATTTACTAAAGATTTTCAGTTTACAGACCAATTTTACACAAAATCATCTGATCCCTTTTAAGGATAGTCATAACTATTATTCGTTGGCTACAATAGTTTCACTAAAAAATAATGGTTGCGTATCATTTCCATTCTATGTCATCTTGTCAAGGGTATAGAGATAAAAAGTACTACATATTCCCAAGACATATATTTTTCTACATAAACGTGTGCGAAATCATATGAAAAATATTTCAATAAAGCCACAATCTTCAAAGGTATTCTCAAAAAGCAAAAAAAATATAAAAATAGCGTTTTTTCTGAGGGGGGGGGGGACTTCTAGGTTCCACGTTAGTGTCCGCACCTAGATGGCTCTCGGAATATGTGAGTCTATGTCACTAAACGACTAGGTAGACGAGCATACGGCCCACCTGATGGTGAGTGGCTACCGTCGCCCATGGACTTCAACAATGCCAGGGGTAGACCCGCTTAATACTCTCCACAAGCCTCGTTTGAAGGACATGTCGTAGCGCTCGGGAAACACCGTGGAGGGGAGCTCATTCCAAAGTCGGATGGTATGTGACAAAAAAGATCTCTGGGAACGCACTGTGGATGACCGCAGTGGCTCCAAGTAGGATGGATAAACTGATATGTAGTAATTCGGTTAAAATAATTAAATAAAAAAATCCAATACATACTTGACGCATTGAATATAATTATAAATAGGCTCTTATAAAATAACTATGATATAAATTAAACACTTCAAATATACAAAACAATAAATACGATGAAAGGTGGTAGCAAGCTCAGGATATACTGACCTATTCCAGAGAATCAACATAAAAAACATTTTTTTAATTAATTTATATAACAAGTTTTTTTGGTTATGAGGGATAATTGTAACGCCATTTTAAAATGTAGTTTTTACGTGCACGAGCTTACCTGGTGTTAAGTGGTTCTCGGAGCCCATAGACATCAAGTTCGTAGATACCGCGATGATAATGATGAGACACGAGTTCTAAGACTCCGTTTTATAGTATAATAGCTACCCCACCCTTCAAACCAAAGCGCATTACTGCTTTACGGAGAAATAGGCAGGGTGGTGATACCTACCCGTGCTGGCTCACAAAATACCCTACCACCAGTGTAGATTTTAAGAAATGAATATTAATTTAATTAAGAATAAATGAAGGGAAAAAACCTTAAGGATTCATTTAGACCTAGACAGGGATCGAAATGCTAGATTTGATCATTTATCTTACGGCAATTCATATTACAAGAATCGATTTTATAAAACTGTATGTCATAAATTAATTTAAACAATTATAATAATTCAAAAATAAATAAATAAACGTGACAATATTTGCACTTCGTCTAAGACTTTATTAAGTTATACAAATAAATAGTTTCGTGAAATAACTAAAATAATTTTCCTAATTTTGAGGTGGCAACTCAGAAGTGTCATTAGGATCAGCGACCGTACATTTCTTGTAATGGGTCCGCATGTTCGAAGATTGTGTGAATGCGAGCTTACAACGTGGGCAAGAATAGGGCTTAGAGCCAGTGTGAAAGTTTAAATGAGATTTAAGATGATGTTTCTTCGTAAACGATTTTGGACACAGCGTACACGAAAATGGCTTCACACCTGAAATACAATCATAAAAGTCAATAAATTACATTACGATCTTATCATCGTCAATTTCGTCACACGTACAGCTTGTAGCAAAAATTTTTATTTTCAATTAACGGTCGCAGTTCACTGTTAGATCAGAGAGAACCAATGAGCTGGTCCGACCAGATTTGAATTTCGATAAATACAATATGGCCGCCGCCTTAATAGTTCGTACTTGTAAACGTGAATAACTTAAATATTAAATTGAGGTATATTGTAATAGTGCATAAGTTCTTTAACTAAAAATATACAATACTAGCGGCCCGCTCCGGCTCCTCTCGGATGTTTAATAAAAATTTCAACGATATTTGACGTTGTTTTTTTTTAAATAAAACAACCTTTTTTTTATGATTGAAAGATTACTGGTGGCCCGGAGGCCTTTCCAGCTTCACCAGGACAGTTGGGCGAACAAAGGCTCAGCCAGGAGGGGCGGGATTTGCTAACAACTGCCCGAGCGCCTCCGAAGGAGACCTAACAACTCAAGAGCAATTGCTTCGCGAATGAATCTACTACCGGATCGGAATCGCGATCCACTGAGAAGATCCGGCGAGAAACTCAGCGGGCTGATGCATGGGTTAGGCTGCACGTCGACCTCTTTGTCGAGTTCGACGAGTACGGTTACCGGGGTTCCTCAGCCTGCTCCTAGTGTTAGAGCTGAAGGTATCTAATGCAAGAGTTATTGGATCTGATGGATCCGTAAGGACGTGTCTAGGGCGACGACGGTGACTTATTGATGATCACTTTGTTGGTGCAACTTAATAAATAAATAAATAAATATAATAATTAGACATATGCTGTCGCGACACTTTTTGTAAACAATAATTGTGTTCAAACCGGTTCTGTAGTTTCAGAGTTTGTAGTTCAATACGAACAAACAAATCTTTCCTCTTTATAATATTAGTATAGATAATTAGAGTCATACCAGTATGGAGTCTTAGGTGGAGGGTCATGTTGGATCTGTCAGCGAACCGCTTGTCGCAGTGCGGGCAGGCGTAAGGTCGTTCGCCCGAATGTGTGCGCTGATGTTGCTTCAGGAGCATCTTACGGGAAAACGCTTTGCCGCACTGATCGCATACATGAGGCTTCACACCTAGTGCAACGAACCTCAATATACAAAAAGTAACTACAGTTTCACACAAACAGAACCATATCTTTGGTCCAAAATTTTAAGGTGCACAGATAAAAAATAAATTAAACATAATAGTTTATTACTTAATACTGGCTGTTTAGGGTAATCATAAACATAACATTTATATACAATTTCTTATAGTGTGGCTGCGTGGCAACACATTAACATGTAGCAACACTAGTCGTAGTCTGGTCGTACTTAGCGTTTGTGTTGTATTGTGTACCAAGAGAAATAAAAGGCTTTCTTCCTAAATAAAATTTCATTGAAGCTAGCCAGCAACCCAACACAAAATACAGTCCAGTGCCCTCAATCTCTCAATTTTGATTACAGATTGGGTTATGTACACTGTTCGATTTTTTTAAATGTGTTATAATTATGTAATTATTGGTTAATTGAATTAATCGTTTTATTGTACTTTATAAGTACACAATCAATATGTAACGGTGTATTTAATTTAAATTACGTTCAGCATATTTTTATATGTGAACTTTTGTGGCTATTTTAATTAACTACTAGGCGTAGGATGTAATACGTATATTATTATATACAAAATTATTTGTTTACATCCCATAAAAACTCTAATTTATTAGAGTTATTTTTGAAAGCTCTTTCCTCGATTACTAGATACTTTATTTCCATAAATGCGGTTGCTTGGAATAAATGGTTTTAAATGTTAAGACTATTGTTCATTTATAGTAGTGTTTCAAGAGTAATTCCATTTTAATTTATACGTTCTATACTACATTATTGATTTGCTTATTCTCTTTTTATATTTTCATCTTAAGTCCAATGCCATAGAATGGTTAACTGCTTTGAACACAGGTACAAAAGGCGAGTTAATGCACAGATACTAATTAATATTTACCTGTATGTATTCTTACGTGCATGTTATAAGCGACACGCTGATTGAAAGATTTCGGACATTGCGAACATTTGTATTCCTTACGATTTCTGTAAAGCAAATACATAATACTCTATATATTATCTACATACATACTACTAATAATAAATACATACTACTCTATACTATCGATTATCTCAAGTTATTTTATAGCGGAACATCTCTTTCTGACCTTCAATGACCAAATAAGCTTATGGCGTTTTTTTGCCTGCATATTGGCCAGTAGCTTCGAGGGGCTATTTTGGCATAATTTTAGTTGATGGGCCATTTCGCGGTGTTCAGCCTAAAATAATTTGCTAATATCTACTTTAGCAAGAGCAATGCTCTGCTGAATCTACTACCGGTTTGTGTGTGTAGGTGAAGATGCATGTCAAACCCTTCGTAGCAGTCGATGAATTCAGCGAAAAGGGCGTTGACGGGTACTTGGAATACTTGTACTACACACTGTATACATATATTATACGTCAATATACGTGTTACAGTGTCTATGGGATACAGTAATCAACATCGGACGTAGCCTCGTTCGCCAAACTAAATTAATTCACGTCACTATATACTACACTATATCTTACTTAATATAATTGGGACTTTGATCAGATTACTGAAGTTGTGCAGCGGCATATGACTGTAATATGTATAGGTGTACGCAAACCAATTAACGTGCCTCGATAAAGCGCACGGATAATTGTCACCATTAAAAAAAATATATATAAAATTCTAGTATTAGGACATACCTATGTATTTTCATATGACTGCTTAGGTATCCTCTGTCGTTGAAATACTTTCCACAAACAGTGCATGTCGCTGCAAACTCTCTAGTGCCTCTGTGAATCGACATATGGTACTTGAAGTTGCGCAGCTGTGAGAATGTTTTGCCGCATTCGTTACAGGAATAACGTGCAGTTTTTGAATGTCGACTCATATGTGTGGTCAACGCATCATCAGACAGAAACACCTGGAAATTTGAAAAAATATGCAAAATTGATGCGTAAGTTAAAGTAGAATTTTAAATAATTTACGGAAACTACAAGTCTTTGGAATTTGATGAAAAATATTGGATTTCTTGACTATTACTATATTTTTTATTAGGTACTTCATATAGTATACTTAGAAATTAAGCCGAAATTATTGCTACATTTAATGCATGCTGCTATTGTCAACACATCGTCAAATGAAAAATTTCAACATTGCTCCTTAAAATATAGTAGGCGTTAACAATATTAATCTATATACCTATATATAAAAATGAATTGCTGTTCGTTTGTCTCCCTAAAACTTGAGAACGCCTGGATCGATTTGACTAATTTTGGTCTGGAATTATTTGTGGGAGTCCAGAAAAGGTTTAAAAGGTAGATAAATATGAAAAATCTCGGAATTAAATAAATATAACAATTTTGTTTTCCCTTTGATGTGTCCCCTCTCGGACGGATTCCTTTCGTTTCGTTTTAAGTTTATTTTATACAAAAGTTTGGGTCTTTTATTTATCGATTGAAGCACTACGAAGTCTGCCGGGTCAGATAGTAGTAAATAATTAGTATTGTAAGTTATAAATATTTTTTGGAATTATAATAACAAAGTTATTTAGGTTTGTGAAGTAAACAATGTTGAGTTACGTGAAAACAATTTGATTCTATAAAGCTATACTCGTAGAAACCATATATTATGCCTATCTCATAATATGATTGGCACATATTATCGTCGTCGTATATTGTTGTCGTGGCCTAAAGGATAAGACGTCCGGTGCATTCGTATTTAGCGATACATCTCGGTGTTCGAATCCCGCAGGCGGGTACCACTTTCTCTAATGAAATACGTACTTGACAAACGTTCACGATTGACTTCGACGGTGAAGGAATAACATCGTGTAATAAAAATTAAATCCGCAAAATTATAATTTGCGTACCTAATTACTGGTGGTAGGACGTCTTGTGAGTCTGCACGGGTGGTACCACCACCCTGCCTATATCTGCAGTGAAGCAGTGCGTTTCTGTTTAAAGGATGGGGTAGCGGTTGTGCTGTTAAAACTAAGACCTTACAACTCATGTCTCGAAGTGGGTGGCGGCATTTACATTGTAGATGTATATGGACTCCGGTTACCACTTAACACCAAGTAGGCCGCGAACTGGTTACCGGAGTTGGACTCACAAGTCGTCATACCACCAGTAAGGTGCTTCTTACCAGACGGGCTTCTCAAATGTTCTATTTTTACAAACCTGGCTACAAATGTTGCATTTAAACTCGTCTTTTAAGACTGGAGGTTGGATGCTTAGTGCAGCAGGGGTAGTTGCACAGTTATTGTTGTTATCGCTAACAGCTTCAGACACCTAAAAATCAAGGAGCAATAGTATATTGAATCAAATAGTCTTGTTTAAAATAAAACAATTGAAACTAAAAAGGATTGTATGAGATACTTTGATGTGTCTATAGATTTGATGCGTTTAATAGATTTAATTATTATTATGACACATATTTTTTTATCTTCCATAAGCTATCGCTTAATCTCTCTATTGTATTTTATTTATATTTGTCATGACATTGTAATAGTGATATAGCAATTCTGTATCTTCAATAAAAAGTCACTTAAATTAAAGGTATTAAAAATGAAAAATGAATGAAAAAAAAATTTTAAGCAATTTATGGAATTTTATGTTTTCAATAGCAAAAACAAACAATACATTAAAGCAACTACAGAATAAATGGTAATAATTTAATGTAATTAATATACCTTGTTCAGTAAGGGTAATTTTTCACTTGATTCTTTGAATTTCCTGCGAAAAGGCTTCGCATCTACGGGCAAACGTGGTCGCCAAGGGTTCTCTAGAACATGATTTGATATTGCTGCTTTCGATATAGTTCTAGCATTCGTTTTAGATTCGCAGTATTCGTTTCCAAAATCAGTAGCCAGACTAATAAGCAATGAACTTTCTCTTAATATAGTTCGCTTTTGTAGAGACATACCACATTTATTTATATCAGCCATCGATTGGGTATAACTCGACATATTTTGAATGTTTCTGTTTGGAGCGTGATCATTTAAATAGGTTGTCTGTAGGTTAGTCTGTAACATGGGTACCATATTTTTGGGTAATGTTTCTGTATTCGTTACAGTATTCGAATATTTATAACACGATCTTAGATTAATTATCTCTTTTGCGTCTTTGGTCCGAAAATAATTTTGCATTAAATTCTGGTTTTGCGTAAACTGTCTCAAGTGTTCAGGGCGACATGTCGGCGAATGAAAGGGGATCTCGACGGTGCTTTTATATTTTTGTACACCTATGTCGCCGGCGCCGAGATGTTCGGCATTTGCATTCGTCAAGAGCACAGATCCCGGAGAACGATAGCATTCATTTGATATTGCTAGCACGCTTCTCGTCTGACCGTTAACATTACCGTTTCGAGGATATGTCTCGATAAATAAATCACGTAGGAAAGAGTTCCTTTGTCGGTCTACAAATGGTGATTTGAAATCTTTTGAAGCATTGTCACACTGTACACCCCTATTGTCTTGATATGTAATTTGCCTTCCGTGAGAATCGAAGTTTTGCAGAAAATATTGTATACCTTTAATATTCGATTTTTTCTTAATAGTGACGAAAGATCCGCTAAAACATTGTGTAGATTTCGGACTGATTATACAACTTTGTTGACATGCATTTGTCTTTAAAAATGAATTAGAACTAGAATTTTGTACACAGCCTAACTCTGGATTCAAAAGTTCGTAATCAATATATATTCGCATAGCTTTCACTATATCCAAGAACATGTCCATTTTCTGTTTTTGTAAAACGACCTCCCCATTATAAATATAATGTAGAACCGCCGACATGGCTTCCTTGTCGAAATCCGGTAGCATCATGTGCGTCGGTGTCTCATTCGTGTGGCAGGATAAGAGAATTTCCTGAAAACCAAAATGTATTTCAGATCAAAAATAAAGAAACCGAAGTTACACGAACGTATGTGTTAAATTAGTCACGTACCCTAAGGAAGGTACTGGCGCTGGCAAGAACAACACGATGAGCCTCGAATGTACGATCGCCACAGAGCAATTTCACATCGCACCAATCGGCGTACGACAGCCATTCACACATCTGCTGACAGTTCAATTATAAAACTAGGTAGTACAGCTACTGACGAATGAACATACGATGTACATAGTTGTGGGTCATTTAATTACAAAAATAATGAAACTGTCGCTTTAACGGCTAATNGGCAAGAACAACACGATGAGCCTCGAATGTACGATCGCCACAGAGCAATTTCACATCGCACCAATCGGCGTACGACAGCCATTCACACATCTGCTGACAGTTCAATTATAAAACTAGGTAGTACAGCTACTGACGAATGAACATACGATGTACATAGTTGTGGGTCATTTAATTACAAAAATAATGAAACTGTCGCTTTAACGGCTAATTGAGGGTAATAAAATTAATGTTCATGAGACGGTTTTTTCCCTTTGCTTAGATGATCGAACGAGCTCCCGATCCACCTGGCAGTGATAGTTATTGTAGTTAAGTAAATGCCAATATCTATGACACATGAGACGGAATCCACAATGAAATTGTAACACGACTATACCACTACGAAATAAGCAGGTTTGTGGCGCTAACGTAAGTGCATCAGACCAACAATAAGTTTTTATCGGAATGTATTGATATTGATAAATAATAGCGAATAGCAAAAATGATTGAATTTTTTGGAGAGTCCTTATTATTTACTACAACAAGAAAAGTTTCCTGGCTAAACAAATAATAATATAATATTCAAAAAAACAAAATAAACACTGGCACCGTTACTAACTAGAAATAGAATGTCTGAGTACATCAAACAATTTCAAAGTAATTTATATAAGAACCGAGAGTAATTGAGTAAATAACCACGAAATTTTACTCAAACGCTTTTAAACACGCTATCATCATGGCATACTTTAAATTGTTAGCGGCAGACCCATACAAAAGCGCTAGTGACTAAAGCGTGTTAATAAGTGAATAAAACGTAATGAAATCCCTGCTAAATACATCATATATTAAATCTCATAATATTCTATTTTAATTCCACGAATATTAAGATAAGATAGTAAGAAAAACACAACCACTCAATCCAGTGTATTGTTAAGAAAAGAAATACCTACATATATGTTTAACAATTTTCCGAACGGATTTGAATTAAAACCAAATCATAGTGTACAATTTGTATCGGTTTGAACAGTTATGTCGCCAAACAGCATAGGTACCTGCGGTGATGTCTCGCACAAAACGTTAAATTAACCAAACATACACGACCAGGTCAACGTTTTTAAAGTAGCACCGAACGTGAAAGTGCAGAGCAAATAGTTTTGATCAAACAAGTGAAAAATTAGAAGCTTTTTTTTGTATCTGGCATTAAATGGTTACCGGAGCCCATAGATTCGACGCCACCGTTGTCTACCTTGAGTCATGAGACCGAAGTCTCGATTGTATTGTATAAAGATTGGGTTGTGTTAGCCTGCAAATTTTAAACCGCCCGTGCGCGATCATAATCCTCTTTTAAGCTTGCGTAACTACTGCGTATGGTAGCAACTTCTAAATTTTGCGATTTTCGTTTTTACTCAACGACTTGTAGTATCCATATTTATTTTTTACATTTATTTATATCTATATATATATATATATATATATAAATATGAATTGCTATTCGTTAGTCTCGCTAAAACTCGAAAACGGTTGGACCGATTTGGCTAATTTTGGTATTAAATTATTTGTGGAAGTCCAGGGAAGGTTTAAAAGGTAGATAAATAGGTATATGAAAATGCTTGGAATTAAATAAAAATTACATTTTTTTTTTTCCTTTGATGTGTCCCCCGTCGGACGGATTCCTTTTGTTTGTTTTAAGTTTATTTTATACAAAAGTTTAGTTCTTTTATTTATCGATTGAAGCACTACGAAGTCTGCCGGGTCAGCTAGTAAATAATAAAATATATTTATTTGATTCCACAATAATTAGATAGAGCTTAATTAATTAAGTATTTAATGATTATATTACTAAGTAACCGTAATAAATCTACTACTCATGCAATTTAACCTTCTAATGTGGACCTCCTTATATATTGTAAAGGCTAAAAGCCTCCAAGCAGTATACATAAATACATAAATATATTATAACATGCGTTCTGATTTTGAAACCTAGCATTGCGGATACATAAATAGATTTGGCGTCTTATTTGACGCTACGGACGCTTAGTTATTTTTAATGTTGTAAGGTAGTCACGCTACCTACTTTTTTAAGTAAAGGTAACTCTTACTCTTCTATTTTAATAGCAATTAAATATTTTAATCATTTCAACAAAAGTACCTAAACTATCTAAGTAATTGAAAAAAATTTATTAAAACCAATGAAAGTAGCTTCACTTTGACACACAAAAATACATAGTTCATGATCTTGAGACGTACTGTAAGTCTAGTTAGTTCACAGTATTTCTCAATGTTTATTACTAATGGATAACTCAAGAAAAAATATTTGTTGAATCAAAACAAAATCTTCACAGTGCCAGGACACTGCAGTTAGAAAGTAACAGTTTAATAAATTATTTTCTAGTTCATTACCGATTATTTACAGCATAATCTAGTGTCTAGAACAAACATGCTATCGGAATCGCGGGATTGCAGCGCTAATTGCCGATTTGCCGATTTCAATCGAATTGTGGAGGCGTGTAAGTTTAACGGCCGCTATTACCCATGAAACTGTTTATTCTCCTTTCTTTTTTCTATGAGAATCAAATTGTAATACACTGCTAACTTAATTGATTATAGACAAACTAGGCTTACCGAAATCACTTATGTACCTATCAAAAGGTATATAAGTGATTACTCAAATAACACCAAAAAATAATATTTTAGTAGGAATACAATTTATAATGTAATTAATAATAAAAGGAATTAAGATATTTAATGTATTTTTATAGTAAATAGAATGAAAATTTTATGCACTTAAAGTTCTAATTACCTACCTAAATAAAATTAAAACAATAATTCGAAACAACATTATTCTGATTATTTATTAAAATTTTCACATTTAAAAATATTAGTTTCAACTGTTAATTTTAATCATATTATCAACATTTAAAAAAAACATTTAATTTACTTACGGCTGCAGGTCAGAAAAAAAGCCCGAAAGATCTTTTTTTAAACAATTTATGTCGATACACGTGATTTCGATGATTCTCTTCAAACGGGCCAAGAAGCTCCGCGCGCTACCACCAAACTGACGACTAAAACATATGCGCTGAGAAGGCACACTGTCTATCTCCAGTTTACTGATAACTTGGACGTTTTGAATCTTACGTTTACATTTGACGAGTTGTCCACAATCCACTTCAATTCATACGCAAAGAAATTATAAAAGTAATCTGGTTTCAATGTCAAAATACTTATAAAACGTTAACTAAAACTTCCGATAGGTGCTTATTTATGTATGTATTCTATAAATATAGGGCCATTAAGTTAAGCCTAGATATGGAATGCTAATTTTCGTTCTACGAAAAAAAACTCATTATCAATAGTTAAAGAACCTTAAATGTTCATTTACCTAAAAGTATCTAAAATGTACCTTCTTTACTTTCAAGCTTTTTTTATAGTCTTCAAAAAGTTTTCGATGTCCTGATTGGAATAGGTCCCCTTCTCTTCTGGGCCACTAGTGCCAGGGATTAAGCCAAACCATTGTCTAGAGCCAATGAATCCGGATTTACATTCAAACAATTTGCATTTTAATTACAAAATTTTCATCACAGACTTCTTAAACAACACCAAAAACTTAACACACACTAACATACGTATTATATACAATAGTCAACTTTGATCGGAAATTTGTCAATGAAGTCAAGCGATATTAAGGTCATAAAACAAAAACAGTGCCTGTAATTATGGTTATTTTTAACAGAGATCAAGTAAATAAATCCATATTATTATATCTTGATATGGATCTAATTCAAAATAGTTTTAGGGTTTTATCTCGGGCTTTTTAGTATCGTTGTATTATTTAAAACGTTTTGAAGACTTTTTAATTATGTCTATGACTCGCGAAAACCGAAGAAAATTAATATAGATCCTTGTCCTTGGCTCAATAATTTATGTTCGTACTGAACTGAATTCATTAATTTGTCTCATTTTACCGCCAATGCACCAAAACAGACAAACAGTTTGTAAAACAGTTTGTGTACAGATTATAAATAACCTTATTTGTTTGCTGCTCTTCTGAGTACTTTTTTTTTGTTGCATAGATAGGGTGGACCAGCTCACAGCCCACCTGGTGTTAAGTGGTTACTGGAGCCCATAGACATCTACAACGTAAATGCGCCACCCACCTTGAGATATAAGTTCTAAGGTCTCAGGTGTAGTTACAACGGCTGCCCCACCCTTCAAACCGAAACGCATTACTGCTTCATGGCAGAAATAGGCAAGGGTGGTGGTACCTACCCGCGCGGACACTCAAGAGGTCCTTGCATAAACACAACAATCATTACAATGTGATATAACTCGCAATTGTATTATTTAAAGGCAGTCCAACCCTTCAAACCGTTAGTAATGATTACTGCTTCGCGCCAGAAATAAGCAGGGTGGTGGTTATTGGGCTCACAAGACGTCCTACCCACAGTAAATTTACTGCTATTAAACGTGATTTTTTATTTTATTTACGTAAATTAAAGATCAATTTTCTAAATTTATATACTTAAAATATAAAAATAAAATTATAACATATAATTTTAAGGTAATTTTTGTAATTTCGTTAATAAGAAAGCACTGTCCACTCAGAAATATATAAAATCATAAAGAACGGTGCTTTGAAGTGTCTTTCTAATTAAGATAATATCTACATGGACAATTAAAATATTTTGACAACGATTTCTGAGAATTTCATGTCTGGTTAATTGCGTTACATTATTTTTAATGATGAATAAGATGGTCGGTTGGTACTTATGCTACAAAATAATTACGTTTTGACAATGTGCATTTTGCAAAAAATGGAAGTTATAAAATTCAAGGTATAACTTGCGGTATTATTACATATTGCTACTATTGAACAAGGTAGCACAAAAGATTAAATAATTAAATGAAAAATAAATATTAAAAAAAACTGATAACTACATTAACAGTAACAAAGCTGTCCTTAACTGCGATTATACGATAATCCTACTAATTTTTAACATGTGGCTACAACATTAGTAAAATTTTTACCAAAGATCTCGAATGCAAATTTCCAATAAAAAAATTCCTGAGATGGAAAACCGGTGATACTTATTATTTCCGACATATTATTGAAAATAGCAATCCAAAGATACTACTTTGCAATATATTTTTAACAGCTAGTAATCTAACTCTTACAACGTTCCCGGTTTGTTCGCCAACTGCAGCCTTTGCTTTAGATTACTGGTTCACAATAAATTAAATAAATAATTGGATCATAATCTCAAAGTGACTAGTGCATTTGTGATTAGCGTTCAGCCTGTGATTTCTATAACCTCTAGTACAGTGACCTTTTACTGCGACGCCCAAGAAGAACTTAAACAACAAGCACTAAAATAATACAAAAATGTATTAGGCATAAATTCAATAAAAGCAAAAACTTGGTAACAAAATATGTATTTAGTGGAAACATAACTATAGCCATGAAAATTCATATTGGTTCATCAAATATATTACTGTCCATGTAATCAAGACCATCATCTGCATTAATGTGCGAGATAAAAAAGTTTCCGTGGGTAGTACTATAGTCATATTTATTACACACACAGTAATGTACACTTTTGCCACAGGTTCTACATTTAGTACAATGTTTCATAGTAATTTGATCAGGAAACTGACATTCTGTAAAGTTTCCTAATTCATGTTTATAATGAAAATCAACTATTGAATTCTCAAATAAGTTATTCAGTATAAAATCATCAACACTTTCAAATGTACTTAAATGGTTGAAAATTTGTTTTTGCTGCTTGGTCAATACTTTTTCTAACATAAAGACTAAATGATGATGATAGCACTGAAATGTTATTCTTTCAATGTTTTTATTCTTTAATTCCATCCACATTTTCACACAACTAAGTGGAGTTTTCGTAATACCACTGAATAAAGCAGGATTAGACAAAAGACCCCCAGCAGCCATTACACCACTACACTTTACTACTTCATATAAGTGGTTGGCATCATTAAGATTCTTGACACCACCATTTGCTACCATTGGGACAGATAAGGCCTCTCTGACCTCTTTTAATCCATTTATATCTACAGGACCACTGCTTTTTTGTGCAATTGTTCTTCCATGTATTGTCAAAAACGTTACTCCGCATTTCTCTAGCTGCTGGCACAAGATAACAGTTTTTTTTATATCATTCAAAAGTCTTATTTTCACAGATATACTAAATTTGTTGGGCAAAACATTTCTTAGTCCTTTTACAATGTCATAAATTATTTCTGGTTTAGATAATAAGGAACATCCATAGCCATCTTTCATTGCCCATTTCTGAGGACACCCACAATTTAAGTCCACCCCGTCGACATATGGATAAACTAGTTTTGAAGCATCCACGAAATCGTCTCGATTATTAGCCGCAAATTGGGCTATCACAGGAAAGTCTGTTGTTGTTGTCATAAACTCATTAGCTCTAGCTTTAGAATTTTGACAAAAAGAATCTGCCAAAATCATTGGAGTGAAACATAGATCTGCATTAAAACTGAAAAATAAGAATTATATGAGACAAAATACTAATGAGACTCCACCAATTTATTTGAATTAACAACTAAAACTCAATTGAAACATTTCCAGAGACCAGCACATTCAAAGCTGCAGTGCCAGTACAAACAGATTTCAATTACCTTGCTATCAGACACTAAACATATTAAAATTGGTCATGTTTGTCCTACTGGTCGGAATTAACTTCCGTTGAAAGAGCAGAGGTAGTGATTTGTGTAGGTAAATTGTAAGCTGATAGATGGACGATTATACTACAATCACTTAGTGTGATGGCTGAGAGCAGACATACGACAAAAAATCAATTTGTACAAAAACAATTTCGAAATTAGATAAATCAACAAGTCGTTAAATAGACTCACTTTCTTACTAAAGTTCTGAAATGAACTTTGCTGTATCTGACCATCGGGGCACATACTTTCAAATATGTTTTATTTATTTTAGCATCAGCAAATTTTTCCATAATATCGCAGATTTCTTTCATCGTTACAGAGTTTACAGACTGACTTTACAATTCTGATATCTACTAGATATATTAAATTTTATTATTTGTTTACAAATAATAAGTACACCACATTGTTTACATTCTTCACAAAAGTGACAAAAGTTAAAGGTTAGGTTAGTGCCGTTCTTAGTACCCTGGTAGATCGTATGGTCCCGTTTTCTGTGCCGGTCTGAATACCTACAGAATACAGGGATCAACACTTAATAAATTTTTATAGATCACACTTAATTATTTCTTTTTAATATTTAATGGCCGGTATTCTGTTATTTTAGCCTAATATTCATTTTAATAGTACAATTAAACGTAAATGTAATTAATTTGATTGCACGGCTTCTCGACTTTTCTTATAAAGAAATTGTAATTCTCAGTAAATTCTCATTCTTTTACTGAGATTTTTTCATTTTATCTTTGCTAACACCTGCGCTCTCTTCCTCCTCTCATTTCATTTAAAAATAAATATTAATTATTTCCTTTCCGTTTCACTCCTCATTCAAATGATATGACTTTTGCTTTTTATTGCCCTGGATTAAGGATTAAGTAAAAGGCATAATACTTTTGGCTAAATTTAGTCGACTGAATTCAGTAGCAGTGAAGTGTAATAGCATTAAGTAAGTTAGCCTACTAAATTCAGTATCTAGGATGGTTTCTGACTTCTGACTGACTAAATCATATAGAAGCCTAATTAGAAACGCATTTAGGAAGGTGTAGTCGCATTTAGTTACTTAATGGTTTCAGTCCTAACTCTCCATGCGTAAGGACGTTTTAGTTTGTTTTTTACTTCCGAATAAAGTATTAATTTCGGTCGCCTTTATTTAATGTGCCAGACATTTATAAATAGCCCGAAATGTTTCAGGGATAATTTTTGTCATCAGGGGTTGGGATATTGAGGAACTAAATTTTAAATCTTGATACGAATTTCAAATTCGTAATTCAATACGTAAAATGGTGGACATTTACTGAGACTTTTTCAGTGAACTGTTTGAAGGATCCCGAGAAGTTACGTCTAGCGGCTTTCTTTCATTTTCCCACATTTGTGCACTTTCGAAGATATTAAACAGTTAATAAACCACCGTTATAACCCATTTAAACCTGAAGAAACTATAAATAGACAACATAAAACAAATCACACAACTTCACTCCTCGCGTTCCCGCCAAAAACTTGATTTGGTAGGCAGCGGCTTGGCTCTGCCCCTGGCATTACTGAAGTCCATGGGCGACGGTAACCACTCACCATCAGGTGGGCCGTATGCTCGTCTGCCTACAAGGGCAATAAAAAAAAATTTAAATTATTGTATCAACATGCACAGATACATTGATTAGCTTAAATAGGTAGGTATGTTGTATGTACCTACCTAGTACCTAATGTACCTATGGATTTACTTAAACTAACCTAAAATGTGCGTGTTGCGATTCTCTTTTAACTTTTAAACTTTTAATATAGATAGCAGTAACACACGAGTCTAATAGATTTGTTTATTTTACTTGAAAAATGAAAAACGTTTTTAACACTACATAAAAATACTGAATTGGATTTAATATAACACAGTTTTCGTTTAAATGGAGCCCAGAAAAGTGGATATAGGCGTTTTAGAAGAAAAACCTAGTTGGCTTTTACATCCAAGGTTCTTTCCAAGCAAAATTGGCGGAAAACCATCCTGGCTTAATCTGCAGGATCTACCGAAATCTAGTGAGCTTTTATGTAAAAAATGCCAGGATCCTACAGTTTTCTTGTGTCAAGTACGTCATTTTAAACAATATTAACAAAGCATATTGAAAATATTTAAGGTCATTATTATAACTATTCTTTCAGGTTTATGCTCCGTTTGAAGATGTAGAAGATTGCTTTCATAGAACTATATTTATTTTCATTTGTAAAAATGGAAATTGTTGCAGTAAAAACAACACTGATAACTTTATTGTACTACGCTGTCAGCTTCCTAGAACGAATGATTTCTATTCCTATCAACCATATGAAGAAAAAGATGAGGTTTGATTTATTAACAGTGTTAATTTTGAGTTGTTTGATTATTAAGAAGCTTGAAAAATCTATCCCAGTCATGGAATAATTCGCTTTAAATCTTACCAGCAGGTGTCAATCTTCTTGTTGACGTCCCTCAAATAGTGTAGAATTAATTGTGGCATTCAAGTTGCTCTAGTCAGTGGCCTAGAAGGTGCTGTACTTATTGACTTCAGAAGCTGGTGGAACTATTAACCCAACAGTTTGAATCCATCACTGGAACCCAGAAGTATCAGTTTTGACTACCGTAAACTTTTAAAATTTTTTGTACAGGCTTAAACCCAGCTTGAATTACACAAATTTCCTTAGACATTCTTGACCCTCTTGAGATAATATGCTCTTTGAATACTATCTTTTGCTGCCTAAGTGATAGCAGTTACACAGTGAAATGAAGTTTAGTTATTTAGCCTCTGATTGCTCCTTCACAATTTAGTATCTTCAATTAGGGTTCATATTAAAATTCATAGCGTTATATAATCTAGGCAGAGAGCATCTTCAGTATGCTGGTTATTGTACCACATGTTGTTCAGTCAAAATAAATCTCCAAAACTATTCATGTTGTAACCTCTAAGGGTTCTCTGGTAACCAATGTACACTGAGAAGGCTGTTAGCTCCTTCAAACGTCTCCCAAATCAGATTCTCTTTTTGCTAAAAAACACTATCTTTTAAATGGAGTGGTGACATTTGATCCAATCATCACCTCCCTGATTTTAATATTGCCATATGATTTTATATCCATCTGTTTCAACATCTGTCACATCCTTGTTTTGTTTTATTAATTAACTAGAGACTGAAGCTTACCAAAAGGATCCAATTAAATTATATTTGAAATAATAATAATTAGATTTAATATTATATTTATATTGTAGTTAGATAGAGAAAACACGGGATTATAACTATTCACTTAGGTTTGTAGATATTTTTCAGTTCAAACTACAATTGTATCTTTTGTATATGCAGCAATTTTTTATGAGGCAAAATAAATACTATCCTACTTTTCTAAATACCAATTGATTTTTTTTTTGAAAACATCACTAAACTAACCATTTTTAAAAATATCTGATTGATTACTAGAATTGATGTCTTAAACTGCCAAGCGTATATCGATCAGGCGTTTACCTGCGGATCGAATAGTAAACACTCCACGTAGTCCTAAACACGTAATTTCGGATCCTCCCGATCCACTATCAGTGCTTTTAGGTACCTCAAGCACTGGTCACCGTTCTCGTCGAACCCATGGCTTGCGACGAAGGGTAAGACGGCCGGTGCATTCGTGTCGAACAATATACCGGTGTTCGAATCCCGCAGGCGTGTACCAATTTTTATTATGAAATACGTCCATACTACTTCCACTTCTTCTTTGACTTCCAAGGTGAAGCAATAACATCGTGTAATAAAAATCAAGCTCGTAAAATTATAAAGTACATAATTACTGGTGGTAGCACGTCTTAGAAGTTTGCACGGGTAGCTACCACCACCCCACCTATTTCTGTGAAGCAGTAATGCGTTTTGGTTTCAATGGTAGGGCGGCCGTTGTACTGTTAAAACAGACCTTACAGCTCACGTATCGAGGTGGGTGGCGCCGTTTACGTTGTATATATCTAGGGACTCCCGTTACCACTTAACACCAGGAGGACCGTGAGCTCGTCCACCCATCTAATCAATAAAAAATACCCATAGACATAGCCCACTGAGTTTCTACCGGGTCTTCTCAGTGGGTCGCGTTTCCGATCCGATGGTAGGTTCTGCGAGACACTGTTTTTGATACAGCTAGTGTTAGCCACGTCCCCAGGTTAGAGCCCCGTAAGCTCACATACTCGCTGGTGAATCTAGTATGGCCCTCGAGGTCACTAGAATAGGTAGGAAAAAAAAGAAAGGCATATATGTATACCTATATCTGCACCATCATAAACAGAGTCACTCATTCAGAATATGCTACTAAAAATTTTAATAGGAACCTTCCCACATAATAGGAATTCCCAATGGACAACTGGACAAAATTGTGTGATGTATGTGGTGCTAGAGGACCTGCTCATTGTTCAAGGTGTAAGAAAGTGTACTACTGTAGTAGGAAACATCAAATTATTGACTGGCAAAAGGGCCATAAAGAACAATGTCCGCAACTGCAGGTAAATTTAACCAGTTTTGATAATCAGCATAATGTGATGCTTTATTTATTTAAATACCAATAAAAGTACAATAATTTGATTATTATTACAATATTTAATAATTGGATTATTTGTATTTCTTGGTTTGTTATGCTTCACCATTTTTAATGTATCGATTAATAATTATAAAGCACTATTTCATTCCATATTAGGTGATTGGGCCTTGAAAAGGTATTTAAATTTCAGATTCATCATTTAGCTTTAACTGCTGGAATGGCATCTGTTTACTTATGTACAAAATTAATCACCTTTACACACATTCATAAATTGTTCTTTTCCATTTTTCTATTGGTCTTAAATAAAGTTCAGGAAATAATTGAATCTCTCTCTCTTCCCAGCCATTTATCATGGTAGTAGGGTCAACTTTCCTTACTTTACTCCACTTCGCTCTGTCTTCGACATCCTCATCAGCAACATTGCATTCCCTTTTGTCCTTCAGCACTACATCCTTCCACCTTGTCTTTGGTCTACCTCAAAGTCTCCGACCGGGGAGGTCGAGTAGTAGTGCCAAATTTCCAAGGTAGTCAGGTGGCTTCCTTTTTACGTGACCATACCATCACAGCCTACTCTCCTGCACCTTGTCTCGATGATGTCCCGTACACCGAGGCTTCCACGCACGTATTTGTTGCGGATTTTATCGAGTCTGTTCACGCCACACACCCACCTCAGCATCTTCATTTCCGCAACTTGAATGGTATGCACGTTCCTTTTGGTTGCCGCCCATGTTTCGTTGCCATACATAAGAACAGACCAGGACCAGAACAGGAAATAATTGAATAGCATATTTAAACTCATGACTAATTTGTGCCGTTGTAGAATGTAAAAAGCAAAAAAAAAATAGGTAAAGGTGTCGACTTCCAGATAGAAATATAAAAAAAAGACCATTAAAACACCATTATAGCTTAGTTAATAATAATATTTCAAAAAATACGAAACAGCCAGGACAAATACGAAAAGTATTTTGTTAAAATTAAAAATTATTGCGAGAAACTGCCTTCTTTTTTTGTGAATATCCTGCAGGCGATTGGTGGTGTTGATGTGTCCCATGTGGTGTGTACCTACCATTACTAGCCTATTTATTTTTGATAGATTCGTGTTTTCTGCTTTCCTAAAACTGACTTCCATTGTACGATATCAATAAAATATTCGAGTTATAGTAACCGGCAAACTTCTTGAGCAAATGACCTTGACTGCGCAGAACCGAATTTTAGATCACTTTGGTGGCGAGGGTGAGGCGCGACGGCAGGGGAAATCGTATCGAGCGCTTTATTGGTAGATCAGTCGAACCTTGCGCCCCGCACCGCGCCCTCGTTCCGCTTGCTCCCAAAAGTACGCTTGCGTACAGTGGAAAGTCTATCGTTATTAATCGTTAAGTTATTTGTTATAATTACTTGTGGACTTTGTTGCCATTGCTATTTGTTGATTGTTTGTTGATTTTTTATAAAACATACACTATGCCGCGACAAACTGGTGTAGGTACTATTCAAAAGAAAGGGTAGAAAAATTGTGTACGACGTATATTGCTTCATTATAAAACAGGGGAAGAATGATATGGAAAAATTAAAACAGACTTCGGAAGTAACAAAACCATCAGTGAGTACTGTTAGGTGCATTATTATTAAGGAAGCTAAAGGCTCTGGCTTGCTCGCCGTGTTTCGGACTCCGGGTAAGAAAAGATCAGGGAAGAAGAAAGTTACCGGAATGGATAGTTTCGTTCAATCTGTAATAAAAAGATGTAATCATAATAACTACATAACAAGCAGCGAAACTCCGTACCGTAGAAAGGCTTCGAAAA